CAATGCCAGGTGGGACGGTATTGTGAAACAATGACACTTGAGATGATATTGAGAAAAAACGACACTTGGGATGGTATTGTGAAACAATGGCACAACTACCACGGTACAATACGACAACCACCACGGTGCAATACGACAACTACCACTGTACAAGACAACTACCACGCTACAATACGACAACCACCACGGTAAAAGACGACAACTACCATGGCACAATACGAAAACTACCACGGTACAAGACGACAACTACCAGGTACAATACGACAACTCCCATGGTACAATACGACAACTACCACGGTACAAGGCCACAGGGAGCTCAAGCGATGTCGAAAAAAAGTATCACAATATCGTGTGCTGTCAAAAACTGACAAAACGGGAACAGAAACGACTCAAACTAAAGAAGATACAATGCGTGCCCGAACCCGTTTGGCTTGTGTAAGACAAGGTCATCTCTGAACGCGATGCTCGATTTACAGTTAACCGCAGCGTTCTGAAATGTATTGCCGGCATTAAACACAAGTTCATCAAACTTTTAATGCCAGGATACAGTCAACGAACTTGTAAAATTATATATACTAGCTGTCGGTATCGATACAGTCAACGAACTTGTAAAATTATATATACTAGCTGTCGGTATCGATACAGTCAACGAACTTGTAAAATTATATATACTAGCTGTCGGTATCAATACAGTCAACGAACTTGTAAAATTATATATACTAGCTGTCGGTATCGATACAGTCAACGAACTTGTTATATCCTACTGGCGGTATTGATACTGTGATAAATCACACACAACCGTCTTCTGCAAAGTCTTTTATCAAATCATTAGACAAAAATTGAAACATTATTGACCATTGATCAACTTCGAACATGCTTGAGTGGTTCATTCAACGTGGTTTTAGTGAGCTCTTGAAAGTAATCGATCTTGTCCTGACTTCGCCGCTGACATCAGTTGAAAAAGAGCGTTTTTTCTAGTTGCATGAAAAGAGTAAAAACACACCTGAGAAATAGATTTTGAGACACACGACTTGGTGATCGGCTGGTCATTGTGGAGACACAGGGATCAGTGATCGCCTGGTCATTGTGGAGACACAGGGCTCAGTGATCGCCTGGTCATTGTGGAGACACAGGGCTCAGTGATCGGCTGGTCATTGTGGAGACACACGATTTGGTGATCGGCTGGTCATTGTGGAGACACACGACTTGGTGATCGGCTGGTCATTGTGGAGACACAGGGCTCAGTGATCGGCTGGTCATTGTGGAGACACACGACTTGGTGATCGGCTGGTCATTGTGGAGACACAGGGCTCAGTGATCGGCTGGTCATTGTGGAGACACACGACTTGGTGATCGGCTGGTCATTGTGGAGACATGCCTCCGAGAACATTGACAAAGTTATTGACGATTTCGGTCGTTTGAAACAAAGACGATATCCTTTGTTTTAGCCAATCATCGTAGTGCTGTGTTGACCAAACATTGATTTGTCGCAACGCTTGTAAGCTGCACTGTAGCAGGTATATACAATAAATCCATCAAAACCAAAATTTATATAACTTCTATTCTATCCAGTGATAAATTGGCGCTGACTATCTATTATGTGCATGCATCTAGCAGAAATGGCTTGCACATGCAGACGAAATAAACACCTCACCAGGCCAGTCAAGTTTTTGTTTTGCGCAAACCCCCGCCCCCCCTCCCCCTCCCTCCCCCCCTCCCCCCTGAAAAGAACTGAAATGACGTCATTGAGTATTAAAAAACAAAAATTGGACAGTCCTATTAATAATTCAAGATGATTTTGGAGTCATGTATAAAACTTTTTTTTTTTTAAATTTGCAATGCACTACTGAAGATCTTAACCTGACAATTCCCCGTCAGAGGGACCAAACGATGCTAATAAATCATACGAGTAGGTAATAAATAAATTTAAAAAAACAACAACATTCTGAAAAAATAAACACTCTTTTAATGCCGAATTCTATGTACACAATGGCAATTTTTTACAGAAACATTAAATTTAGCTTCCTAGTCACTCTAGTATTTGACGTGAAGTCAATTAATGAAGCCTTGTTAGACTGCTGATGAGATGATATGAAATAAGGAGTCCGAGATAGTAGGAGAAATTCAAGTTATATTTATCTATATAATAAACTCACATAAATCTTTAATTATATTCAAAAGTATTATTATAAATATAATAGTTTATTTCTTTAAAGGAAAAAAAAAACATTAAAAGATGAAATAATAATTTTTGAAACATTAAAAAAAAAAATTCAGTTATTTCAATGATCATTATAAGCATAAGATAAAATATTCGTTTTTCTTTGATTATGTAAAAATATATTAGATATCATCATAGAGTTATTATTTTCTAAGTTACTTTTAATTGATAATGTATAAGGTAATTAAATAGGCGAGCGCTGACCTTAACGCATGTAGACAAAGATATTCGGATAATAATCCACATTGAATATACATTACAAGCTTATGAACACACGCGTTAATCCCCGTGGAATTAATTATTATTCACGAAAGCCATTAACGTACACTAAATGAATTCACCCTTTTACAAGTTTTTAAGTATGATTACTGCCAAAACCCGAAGTTGGCCAATTCGGCACCTGGCCGGCGAAATGGGGTAAATGCCAATGTCGCTGTTAATTGACAGGCCGAAGTCCGATTTTTTTTTTTTTTTTTTTTAAACTCGATTTAGCGATTTGGCCGACCAGTTAGTGAAATGATTCGTCGTGATTTTACTGCTCCGCTCATGGATTCCAATGTGAGCACTTTCACTTTCACTTTCACGTGCTGAAACGGAAAATTCACTTATGGAATAGGCTGTGTTTGAGAACACCATGAGATCAGGGGCGTCATTTCAGGTGGGTTTTTTTTTTTTTTCAAGAGGGTGGGGTGAAACCAAAACTTGGTCGGCTGATTAAGTTGTTTATTACTGGAGGCGCCACAGCAAATACCATTTTAAATAAAACCGGCAAAATCGGGGGGTGGGGGGGGGCAAATGCCACTACCCAAATGACGTCCTAAACACCATGAGATCAGGGGCGTCATTTCAGGTGGGTTTTTTTTTTTTTCAAGAGGGTGGGGTGAAACCAAAACTTGGTCGGCTGATTAAGTTGTTTATTACTGGAGGCGCCACAGCAAATAGCATTTTAAATAAAACCGGCAAAATCGGGGGGTGGGGGTGGGCAAATGCCACTACCCAAATGACGTCCTTGCGTGAGAAGTTCTGTTCCTAGCTTTTATAGAATGCGCCTTACAAGTTCGTTACATGAGCCACGGATTTTCCGCCCTCCAGTGAAATAGATGACCAAATACTACTTAATTTCAAATACATTGGACCTCGGTCACACCTCTCGGCCATTTTACTCTTTTGTCGGCCTATTGAGGAATTGCTCGAACTTCGGTCGTAAAACACGCATAATATATAATTAAAGAGATTGGATGGGCAGCGGTTCTTAAACTTCAATAGTCTGGAGACTTTCTCGTCAAGCAAGGTTTTGAGGAATCCAGATAAATTACTTAACATTAGCATAGCATAAAATGATGAACAAATTAAATTCTAATTAGTTCAGCTATTGATACCAACGTCGACAAATAATATCAGTAAAATTATATAATAATAATAATAATAATAATATCACATTTAATCACTAGATCAAAATGCTGAAATAAAACACAGAGATTTAAAGCGGTACGTAAATAACATCCTCTTATCCTGCGAGATGGTTGAAATAATGCACATCATGTCTCTGCAGGGGCTTCCTCATTACACCCTCGGTTCCAATACAAACTGTATAGCCAGTCATTAGCCTAATGCTCGGTGCCAATATAGACTATATAACCAGTCATTAGCCAACACTCAGTGCCAATATAGACGGCATGACCAGTCTTTAGCCTAACGCTCAGTGCCAATATAGACGGCATGACCAGTCATTAGCCTAACACTCAGTGCCAATATAGACGGCATGACCAGTCTTTAGCCTAACGCTCAGTGCCAATATAGACGGCATGACCAGTCATTAGCCTAATGCTCAGTGCCAATATAGACGGCATGACCAGTCATTAGCCTAACGCTCAGTGCCAATATAGACTTTGAGGTGTTGAGGCAAGGATTAAAAAAACAACCAACAAAAATATTAAAAAAAACTCACAGGTAATGCATACACTACCATGTCCGTCGTCTGACTTACGTCTTCGTCAACACAGATAAAAATATAGCCGAGGTCATTGACATGTTTTTCCATCCTACAATCGGCTATGGAACAACTGTCCCCACTCCCAATAACTTGAAGAATTTGAAGAAGAAGAAGAAGAACAACAAAACAAAAAACAACAGATAATATAAATTAAATGAAACGTGTTCATTGAGCACTTTGGCTCAGAAACAATAATTCCAGTGTAGCAATGACATGGAGTGATCTAAATGAGCCAAGGGTAACAAAACAAAACAAACCAGAACCTTAAATAGTGACAAGCAGTGGCTTTATAATGATGCCACTTGTAAAAGATATAAATGATTCTAATTTTTTTTTACATTAATACAATATATACATAATATATATATATATATTAATCCAGAAGTTTATTGAACTTATTCTAACATTTCATCTAAGGAAAAATAAGACGGGGTTGAAACATGAAAAAAGTATATTATGCTCATTAAAATGATAGAAATTCAGTAGTCTGTATAGACTTCGCTTCCTTGATTCTGAGTTAACAATTTAATCATTTGATTCATTTTATTTCCAATGTACAATATTATGAACAAAATATTATGTTTATCTACGGCAGTGACTCTATGGGAAATGGACAATACAGGGGAAATATCACTGAGACCTATGTCAGTTGACTATATTTAAGAAAATAACATTGAAACCTATGTCAGTTGACTATATTTAAGAAAATAACATTGAAACCTATGTCAGTTGACTATATTTAAGAAAATAACATTGAAACCTATGTCAGTTGACCGTAGTTTAGAAAATAACACTGAGACCTATTGATGTCAGTTGACCGTAGTTTAGAAAATAACACTGAGACCTATTGATGTCAGTTGACCGTAGTTTAGAAAATAACACTGAGACCTATGTCAGTTGACCGTAGTTAAGAAAATAACATTGAGACCTATGTCAGTTGACCGTAGTTTAGAAAATAACATTGAGACATATGTCAGTTGGCCGTGGTTAAGACAATAACATTAAGACCTATGTCAGTTGACCGTAGTTAAGACAATAACATTAAGACCTATGTCAGTTGACCGTAGTTAAGAAAATAACATTGAGACCTATGTCAGTTGACCGTGGTTAAGAAAATAAGAACGTGCTATTTCTGGACAGCCGCTGGTCAATTCTCTTGGTTTCACAGTCGAAAAATAAAGACATGTTGTGCCTGTTTATTGCGGCCCCGGAGTTCGGGGACCGCGGGTCGAGTGGCATTATTTTGACGGCGTCCCGGGAAGCCAGCGACGGGTCCTCGTTGAAGTAGTTGAACGGCACCAGGAAGAACGACTGAGTTGTCCCCACTGTCGCGGTGGTGGGCACGTTCTCGGTCTGGGGAATGTGGTAGCTGCCCAACGTGATCCACGCTACAATATCCTGCAGAAGTGAAAGGGGAAAAAAAAAACCTTGAGGTCAGCATTTGCATGGTAAGATGTAGCAGTTATAAATGAATTTATAATTTAAAAAATTCACAACAAATTATTATGTTCTTTCGAAGTCGTAAGATTAATTAGGTTATGTCTGGAAAAGGGATTCCCCCCTCCCCCCAACCACTCCAACACACGTACACTTTGTTTTTCTTGCCCCAAAAATGCAAAAGTAGACTGAATTTAAAAATAGATTAAAAAAAAAATCATTGGCGATAGGAGAGAGAGGAATGGGTTGCTGCTATTTCCCATCGAAAACAGCGCCGCCTTGTACCACCACTTGCCACTCTCCTGTTGAAAGTGTAATATATCTAAGACAAAGACCAGGAAACGCTTCCCTCGACGACTTCCATTAATTATGGTTTGTTATGTTATGCACAATTTCCCGGGACACATGTAAATGTAAGAGATCGCCCGGAACTAAATTTAATAAGAATGAATCTTCTACATCAGTGGTTCTCAGCCTTCCGAATGCCGCGACCCTTTAATGCAGTTCCTAAGTTGGTGGTGACCCCCTAACCATAAAATTATTTTCGTTGCTACTTCATCAATATGTGTTTTACGATGGTCTTAGGCGACCCCCTGTGTAAGGGTCGTTCGACCCCCCCAAAAGGGTTGCGACCCACAGTTTGAGAGCCGCTGTTCTCCATCAGGCGTTCCGCACCCGTAGTGCACGGACACCCTTCCAATGGTTGGCGAAGACGTGTGATGTGCTGGATGACCCGCATTCCTTTCGTAACTGTGTTACATGTATTTACCGTGTTTACTCTTAGAAGCAGGGGGGGGGTGTCTTGACCTTCACCTGACTGGCAAAGGCGTCGATGTTACAAACAAATAGCGGTCAAGAGGCCCGGTTTAACCTACCAGCTACCACACACACAGCACGGTCTGTTAAATGAGCTCAAATGACGCAACCATTTCCGCCAAAATATGAACTTAATGAACTCTCAGGCCATCCCCTGAACCCCGGTAGATTACGTCATTTGTAAGTTGCTTGCGTGCGACCATACCCAGGTGTTGTTTTTTTTGTTTTTGTTTTTTGTTTTAAATTATTATTATTATTATTATTATTTTCTTTTTGGCTTTAGATGTGGTGTTTGTGTGGGTGTGTGTGGATGAAACAAACTCCTACGTGACTTGGCGTTCAAAACCATGTTTACTCGGCTCTATGCCGCAAGCGATTGGTCTGAGGACGTGTTGAGACTCACCGACACACTCAATCAAGAATGGGGTGCTTGAAACAGGGTAGTAACGTGTATGGAACAAGGTTGTAATATGTTTATGAAACAAGGTTGTAATGTGTGTTTGAAACAAGGTTGTAATGTATGTGAAACAAGATTGTATACTGCTGAGGAAGCAAGGTTGTAATGTGGATGAAACAAGATTGTAATGTGTATTAAACAAGACTGATTCTTTTAAAAGTTTTTTTAAACTTAACATGACAACAAACCACAGTGGGACGCTTTTTACTATTTTACTATCATTATTATTTTTACATTGGCCTTACACCAATGCAATGCTAAGGCTTACAGTGAATCCACACTAAGTCACTGCTGGTTCATACAGTGCATGCTGTTAGTGGCGTACCTCCCGTGGTAGCAGCTACGTCCGTGTTGCGGGGCCCGGCCGTGGTGGGGGGCCCTGTCCGACCAAGAATACTTATGAGTCAGACGCAATAAAGTAAGAGAGTGTTAAAATATTTTCAAAAAAGACAATTTTACTTGTTTGATCAGACTCCACGGGAGCAGTGGCGTAGCTAGGGTTAAGGCCGCCCCCGTTCCACGGTAAAAAGTATTTAGTTGGCCGAGAAAGCCGCCCCTCCATAGACAGAATTAAAAGTGCCGCTCGGGGCGGATCCCCAACCACCCCCCCCCCCCCAAAAAAAAAACCACCTCCCCCCCCCCCCAAAAAGGGAGCAGTGGCGGAGCTAGGGTTAAGGCCGCCCCCGTTCCACGGTAAAAAGTATTTAGTTGGCCGAGAAAGCCGCCCCTCCATAGACAGAATTAAAAGTGCCGCTCGGGGCGGATCCCCAACCACCCCCCCCCCCCAAAAAAAAAATCACCTTCCGCACCTCCGAAAAATTATTAAATCTAATCGTCTAAATTCATCTCTCATGGCAGGCAACTATTACTGTTTTGTGACGTCATGTGACGAAAGTTATACTAACACTAACAAAAATATAACGCAGACCGAGAATGTTACACGAACACCGATGTGTAGTAACAAAGCGTAACGCAAGGAGATGTTAAGCTTAGTGAAACTACACGAAGAAAGAAGATATTTTTGTGTAATGGAGTAGCTAAGCAAAGTCAGCCTGCCCCTGCCGAGCTTGAAAAGTCGAGCAAGTCAGGATGGCTGCAGCGCAGCAGGAAGAGCGCAAGTTAGCATTAATGAAGGAAATTAATGAAGGAAATGTTGAACGTCTCGGAAGGATGTAGTGCTAACTACTGTTAACTGATTCAGCCGAAGCGTTTGATCCCAAATCTACTCAAACTGCAAACACGTAGGAAGATGTCCCAGTCGAATTGAAGACATCAGCAGCATAGCCAATTTAGGTCCATTCCCAGCGGACAGACCACAATTTTATGTTAATGTAAGTGACAACAGCATCACACGGTTTATTGTGGAACATAGAACATGCCAACCTGAAACTCCTTTCCCTAGGGACCAGAATCAAAACAACAGAAGCATTTCAGGATTGTATTAAGAGAGGACACCTAGAGATGCCATGGATTCATATGACCAGTTAGTTCTTTGTGTTATTCGCGGAAACTGGACTCATGTATTGTGAGTCATGATGGCTTTTTTTGTGATCGCGCAAAACTTTTACCGACCCCTCCCTTGATTGGGAAAAGGTTTTTTTACATTACAATACGTTTTATTTGTTCTACAGAATGGTAGCAGGTGATGCAATATCTAGAATTTCTTATCTATATAGAGGGTTCTGCTTTAATCCTTATATGTAGTCGTACATTTCGTGCGCATGAAGATGCATATGGACATGCTGAATCTTGAGTAGTTTTGATCACTCCAGGCTTCATAAAATCATTAATGAAGGAAATGAGAAGCAAGAGTTACAAGAAATAACTTTCGGAGGCAAATTGTTCACAGCGTTGTAAACATTACTTTTACTTCAGCGATGCGTGGACTCGCTTTCAGAGGCCACAAGGAGCTGTTGGGAAATTTCAAATAAGATTTTAAAAAAAAAACATATGTCGTTCAACTGTGGTAGCCTATTACCCAGTGTTAAAAGAACATTGAGCGATCTAGTGATTGTGGAGCAACCAAATATTTAAGCAAGAAATGCAGAATTAAAAAAAAAATTGAGAAACGTTCTACTCAATTTAAAAATGCCTTGAGATATATGATAAAGCAGGTTCCTTATTTTGCATTCACCATAGACTGTCACAATGATTGTTGTCTAGGCCGAGGCTGTAGCGGTGCTACCACAAGGAATGGTGTCTAGGCCGAGGCTGTGGCGGTGCTACCACAACGAGGGGTGTCTAGGCCGAGGCTGTAGCGGTGCTACCACAATGAGGGGTGTCTAGGCCGAGGCTGTGGCGCTGCTACCACAACGAGGGGTGTATAGGCCGAGGCTGTGGCGGTGCTACCACAATGAGTGGTGTCTAGGCCGAGGCTGTAGCGGTGCTACCACAAGGAGTGGTGTCTAGGCCGAGGCAGTGGCGGTGCTACCACAATGAGTGGTGTCTAGGCCGAGGCTGTAGCGGTGCTACCACAATGAGTGGTGTCTAGGCCGAGGCTGTGGCGGTGCTACCACAATGAGTGGTGTCAGGTTGTTCATTTCTTCTGAGGAATGCAAACGGCGCTGGATACATTTTGCATCTTTAGCTTCGTGAATTGACGGCCCCCACACACGATGACGTGTTCTTGAAGGTGACAAAGCTTCAGCAGACATTTTTTAATGAGATAAACCATCTTTCTTCGAGCAGCTGCAAAGCTGGAGAATGGTTCTCAAACAAGAAATTAGGAAAATAAACAATCTAGGAGTTGAGTCTTTTTTTTTTTTTTTAATGATAAAAAATGGTTGTCTTGCGCCATATTGTGTCAACATAGTTTCCATTTCTTCCTTCCAATACGACTTTACGTAGCATTAAGATAAGATAATAATAAGATCTACAGTTATCTTTATAATTCAGGTGTTAAAAATATATAAACACTAAAAGTCGATTTTCTATCTAACTTTAAGATAGCCTCTTTTGGCACTTCTGTAGAAATACATTTTTGTCTCGCTTTAAAATACATTGTCACTTTTTTTTTAAAGGTTGATAGTGCTAGCCAATAAATTCGCATGGGTGAGAATGGGTGCATAATGTATACAAATTTGGGAACCATTGATTTAAGTCTTCCAATGAGGTCTCAACTTGGAGAGTCCCAGATTCGGCCCGGCCTTCGGCGAAGAGATATGTTTTCGTCTGGCCTCTCCCACCCCCCCCTCTTATTTTTGTTTGGCTGGTGGGTCGTACATTCCGAAAGGGTGGGGGCCGACAACCACGCGGGCACACGTGCGACCTTCATAAAATAGGCCGTGAGTATAACCTCCCTTTTCCTCTTTCAGGCAACGCACAGAGTGGGAAAAAAAAAAAAAACAACAACACTACAATGATGCAATGTATGTAGTTTAAGCGAACTGGCAATTTTCAACATGACAGACATCAGGAAGTGGAAAAATTTTCAACGGCCGTGCTTAATGGCAAAGCGGATATAATGCAAGGTTAAATGGGACATTAAAGATAACTCACCGTTGAACTGGTTAACGTTCATTGACTTACAGCAACTTAGGGCTCTTAAATGTGGATTTAATTTGCCGTAAACTTGTGTGCGTTCTGTCTGAGTAATTTGCCCCATAATAAAGCGTGCCACTACAATGTACATAAGAAAAAATTCAGGAAAATAAAGTGTACAGAATAAATTGCACGATAATAAAGGGCACCAGGAATTGCGACAGACAGAGTGACCGGCATAACTTGGCGATAATGAAATGCATACGAATATGGTCCACCTTTATAAATTGCAGGACAATAAAGTGCACCAGATTAATTTGCACCGCATTATAAAAGAAACTGCGTTAAATAGAATGCATCATAATTAAGTGCACTATAATAAAGTGCACGCGAATACATTGCACTGGAAAAGAGTGCACATCAAATTGCACAAGAACGAATTAAAGCAGAAAGACGCGCACCAGAAAAACCAACAACAACAACAGTAGCGTGAACAGCACTCTTAAGACTCTTTATTGGAGAATAACATGGCCTGTACCAGGCACCTTTTGACCTCTAAAATGTGTCGAGTCTTCTGTCAGTTAAAATAATTGAGAGTTTGGGGCGAAATTCTTGTGTGACTGATGCATGATGGAGAATGTTTATACGGCGGTCATGGAGTTATGCGGAGCATGTCGACGTGCGCGCGAGGCCCCTCCAAGCCCGAACATGGTAAATCTGTTACATAGGATCTCAAACTACCTCTACCAGAAAGGGTTAAACGAGCATATTAAAAATTTTTTTTTTTTTTTACTAGGGCTTAACCGGGTAATTTTTTTTTTACACCGGGTCGGGGTATTTTGAGAAAAAACCCGGTGGGTTCAAGTGTTACAACAAAATGTTAACGTCTCATTGTCTTTAATGTATGCCGTCCTTTAAACAACAGGAATGCAGACAGTCTTACACACCCTACCTGGCGACCTTTAAGGATTAGTCCTACAGAAATATTAAAGTGCAAACTCTTCGTGTCACAAATTGTATGGGTAAATTCATCAGGATTAAAAAAAAAAATTCTTTTGAATGCTGGGTCTGTAGGTCTTTGGCGGGAAAAAAAAAAGAATTTAAAATTAAATTAAATTGTGAAGTCACTGTTGCTGCAGCAGAGTTAATTTTCTTTCTTCCAATACAACGTCATTAATATTTAATACGCATTGTGTTCGGCCTACCTTATCTAAGATGTCTTCGTTGTCCTCCCAGTACTTTTTGAAACTGACCACCGGGTCCTCGGCGTCCCACATGGCAAACATGGAGCTGCTGGACATCTCGTCGTCCTTCTGCCTGGTCACCGCCATCTGGTGACGCCCCCAGCTGACGGACGGCTCGAACCCTTCGCCCTCGGGGAGAATGGCCTTGGTCATGCCCTTGTGGATCAGCCTGTACGACGGCGTGTGTCCCAGCTCTGTGGGTTTGTTGCTGGAGAACAGAAGATACTTGGGGTGATGGAAATCAAAGTCGTAGAGGGCCTCTCTCTCGGTGGATTTGTATTCGCTGCGGAAATAGTTCTGCGTATGGCCGCGTGTCGGATCCTCGGCCCAGACGTTGGTCTTCCTCTCGGCCCCGATGTTCAGCGTCTGAAACCGATTGTCCACGCCGTTTATGTCAACGTCAGCCTTAAAGTGAAAGAGATGATGATGAAGTCCTGCCACAACATTCTTACTTATGCGGGTCCCAAACTTTTCCTCCTCAGGATAGTAGAAACTTGTTGCTAAGTAGCCCGTCGCGCTGACCTTGACCTCGATACCCCCGTTGTTGTGAAAGACGAAGTCAAAAACGTAATCGTAGTTGATGATACATATATACATTCGGACCACTAAAACGTAGTCGATTAGTCCGCTGTAGAACGCCCCCGACATCCCGTAGGCCCTGTGTCGGCGCAGGGGCGTCTCCGGGCTGTGCTCAAATATGCACATGGAGTTTTCGAACCGCCGAGTTCCTTTGTCGTTTGACGTGTACATCACAGCGTCGAGCATGGTGGCATAATCCGGGCAGTCCATCCCTGGCATCATGCCCCTCATCCGGGTACCAAACAACCCCGCGCTGTCTGCGAAGTACAGCATGCTGGCCGCGGGAGAGTGGCCCGAGTAGAGGACGGCTATCTCCTGCATGCTCAGCTCGTAGATGATTCTCTCCCCCTTGTACCGTATATCGAAGAACTGGGTCCCGAACGTTGGCGAGACCCGGACGTTGAACCTCCAGTCCATGTACTGCACGAGGTTGCCGTTAACCGTGTACCGTGGCCCAGCCGGCTGGACCTGTTGGGGCGGGGGGCGGTTCTCGTTCGGGACGGGAACGCCGCGGAGGTAGACGGCACTGTACTGATCCTCTGTGGGCAGCACGGGGAAGGAGGACCTGGTTTTATTTATGTTATTGCCGGCATACTTCTCCAATAATTCATCGATACTTTGAAACAGCTGGTTGGCATAAAATATTTTTTGGATCTCCCATCGCCTGGGATCCGAATCTGTTGTATCCACGAGGAACTGAAAGTCTAACGGGTGCAGGGTGTAAAACTCTAAATCGTACGCGAACCAAAACCACGATTTTCGACGCCCTGGCTCAAGAAAGCCGCTGGACACAGGGGTAATCATGAACCTGAGGCACTTCTTGGCACAGTTGTCCAGTGTGGCGTTGTAGCTCTCTTTCAACACGTTGTAGATTCGCCCCAAGATCTTCGGTAGCGCATGCACTCGGAATGCCTTGAGTTCAAACGCCGAGAAAGGTCGGACATTATATGGAATCGTCGTCTTTCTAGAGTTCGTCTTCATTAGAGACATACTGTTCGGATTCGGCAACGGACCTACAAGATATTCTTCGACAACGGGTTCTTGCAACCCGCCCCTAAATATAAACGCGCGCGCCATTCGCTGAGGCCTGGGTCCCTTTTTATCTAGGTACAGCAGCACTTCTTGTTTCGGCGGGGAGATCATCTCCACGACGTGGATGTAGTTGCTGTTCAAGCCCGCGTCCTGGGGCAGGGTTAGGTTTAAATGCCTTTGCCCGTGGATGAAGTCCACTATGATTTTGATCTCGTAATCGTGGAGATCAGAGAAGACGTCTGCCCGGCCATTGTACAGCTCCATGCTGTCGATCCCGTCTTTAACGAGGCAGCTGTCCTCCACGCGTGGGTCACCGATGGAAAATCTTGGTAAAACTGTTAAAATAATTACGGTCAGCGTTAGCAGCAGGCAGACGAGGGCTAAGATGGCGGTTAATGTTTTCAATGGCACGTTCTTCGTCTTCGATTGCAGCAGTGAATAGCTGAAAAGAGAACGAAAATCTGAATGCAGTCGGCGCACAAGGGGAACATGAATCAATGAGGAACATGAATCATTGAGTAACATGAATCAATGAGGCACACGAATCATTGAGGAACGTGAATCAATGAGGTTATAGTGGATATTGTTAAATATTTTAAATTAGTTAATAATAATTTATTATGAAGCCGATATATACATTTTTATGACAAAATAAATGAATTGAATACCCTTACATTTCAACCTTCAACATCGACACTTATTTTGTAAAATGTGTTAGTAAAAAAAATAATTACCAAATAAAACTATTTCCCTATTTCCCTTCACACCGATTCCCCCCCCCCCCCCCCCCTCCCCCCCCCCCCCAACTTCCCGTCCCTCCACCAAAACCTCGTGACTCCTGACACCATAACATAAGATATTCAACGGAAAATTCCTCCTCCTTTCGTTGCGGACGGTTGATTTTGAACGTAGATTGACATAGATATCCAACACGAGATCGCTTCACGTGCCAGGATGTCCTCCTGATTAAAAAAAAGAAGACTCTGGGATGAAATGGAGAATGTCGAGATCCGGCTTGTCACAATGCCACACGCCCTAGGGGAACGCAACTATCCGCTTCAATGACGCTGTGCTATGCTGTTGTCGTGGGTGACGCGGACGCGGTGGTCCCAATGTTTGGAAGATATGAATGAACTCTCCCAGCTAGTTATGGCATGTAGATCTCGCACAACGTATGGACGAGGATATGCGTTCTTCAATACCAACGCTTATTTTAACAAAACTAACACGTGCAAGTCTTAGTTGGTATTCATAGTATCGAGACTCCGGTACGATTCCAATTATTTACAATCACACATCTAACATCGCCGCAAAGGTTTCTTAAACGTCATGCCCCATAACTAGGCCAAATGGTGAACGTTTTTAATTGATGTATAGATATAAGAAGAAAAGAATTCAGGAGATTTAAAGTGTATTGGAGTCAGAGGCGTAGCGAAAGCGTTTGGCGCCCAGGGACAAGATTCATTTCAAGGCGCCCCCTTTTCTTTTTTTTCAACTCCCGAACCCATTATTTTCATCACTAAAATAAAAATCAAAGCACATTTTGGCGCCCCTACTAGCTGGCGCCCGGGGACACCTCACACCTGTCCCCCCCCCCACCCCCCACCCTCTTGGCTACGCATTTGATTGGCGTCCAAATGCATTCCGTTGTGCTTACCGTCAGAAAGCGTACATGACCGGTCTTAAGGTGTACATTAATTGTAAGATATCATTGAAACTAGAGATGTTAAGTTTAGTGTTTGACCCTTATAATAACAAGTGTGATCTGGTCTTTAGGCGAGCTTTTGAGTTGATACGGTTATTTAAAGCCACATCGGGCACCGTATGACCTTGCATGTTTAGCGAAGACTAAACGGTCATTTATTTTATCTAGCCAATCATCGTCCCCTTTGTTTTATCTAGCCAATCATCGTCCCCTTTGTTTTAACTAGCCAATCACCGTCCCCTTTGTTTTATCCAGCCAATCACCGTCCCCATTGTTTTATCTATCCAATCATCGTCCCCTTTGTTTTATCTAGCCAATCACCGCCCCCATTGTTTTATCAAATTTAAATCGTCTTTATGAGTTTCTTTAAATAACATTGGAAGAAAAAAAAAAGGGGGGGGGGAATTTTTACCGCCGCACACCTAGTATCGTCTTGCGGCACACCAATGTTCCGCGGCACGCGGACCTATTAGTGTAATTAACAAATAAAACACAGTGAAAGTATTGTTTGGTGGATAGGGGGTGCTGTGTTGCTATTTGTAATTTCTTCATACTTGTGGGTCGAAGATGAGGTTGCGCGTACTTTTAAATCCATCAAAAGTAGGGTTATGTATTTAAGTCAGGCCTGCACAACTCAAAATGTAAGGTGGGCCGTAATACATTATGAAAAACGTGTGCGGGCCAAAAGAAAATAGAACAGGACTTGAACAGGACAAAAGAATATAGGTCAGGGGGGAAGCTATTTTGAAAATAATAAGAATAAAGAGTTTTTCGTTACCTCGCGGGCCACAAAGTAGATGCTGGAGGGCCCCATGGGGCCCACGGGCCGTATGTTGAGCAGGCCAGATTTAAGTTATTGTAATCTATTTATCACATTTCTATTCGCGTCTTATTAACTGTACGAAATCTAATACGAAAACCAAGTATGAAAAAAAAAAAAAAGTGGAAATAATTATAACGATTTTAACAACCAATGGTTAAAGTCCCTAGCAATGACCTGGACTATCGATTGCCATCATACGACACCGCGTCTGCTCACGTTACGGGCAACACCCTGCTCTTGGCGGGGGCGAGGAAAAGTTTTAACCCCGGTGACCTCGGCCAGAGATTGCTAATCGTCACGAGTGTTGACAGTTTGCGCGGCGACGATTGGCTGAGCCGAACACACCCTCGGAATGCGATGATGAAATCAGGATACACGATGCCCCAGTTTCAAACGCCGTAGCGTGTAGTCTCCCTTGGCTTGTACAACAACTTGTACAAAAAATAAATTAAAAAAACAACAACAGTATTTTAGCGTACACGTATCCCTGTCCCCAAATGGCGAAATGAGAGCTGTTGGGGCGGTGGTGGGGCGAGGTTGGTGGGGTGGGTGGGTTCAAGAAAAACTTTTTAAAACAACTTATTCTCTCTCTCTCTCCCCTCTCTCACTCTTCCCCCCCCCGCTGCCCACTTTTTCCACCTCTGTCGATGTAAGGTGTCCACAAATGGTAGGTGGCCATGACAAGGTGGTTGAGTGTAATTAATTACAAAGATGTGTGGACGGGGGAATAGGCAGTACACGTATCCCTGTCCCCAAATGGCGAAAGGGGGGCGGTTGGGGGGGGGGTGGGGCGAGGTTGGTGGGGTGGGTGGGTTCAAGAAAAACTTTTTAAAACAACTTATTCTCCCTCTCTCTCCCCTCTCTCACTCTTCCCCCCCCCCGCCGCCCACTTTTTCCACCTCTGTCGATGTAAGGTGTCCACAAATGGTAGGTGGCCATGACAAGGTGGTTGAGTGTAATTAATTACAAAGATGTGTGGACGGGGGAATAGGCGACTAGGACAATAGGTACGGGACTCCTGGTACGTGGACGCGACCTCCACTGTCTCAATGGCGGCTGGTACGAACATATTAAACGAATGCTTGAAGAAAAAGAAGAGGGAGCCACTGTACGTTTTGAGCAACGTTGACCCCCAGAGATCAGATTATTAAATCCGTCAGGGGTCGATCAGTTTATTTCTGTAAAAAATAAAAATTACTTTAGAAAGTTGACGAAACGTTATATACAGTCTCTAAGCGTATACGTTGTAACCCGTGTGTTGACCTAATTTTGTCTCAGCGAAGAGGTAACGCGTTCCACCACTCCTCTCTCCCTTTTTCAATTGATTTTGGCGTCACCGATGAAATGTGCAGCGCTGTACCTTTGCCCATCCCTCCTTTGATTGGGAAAAGGTTGCCTACGTTTTAAATTTTTTTCTAAAAAATTGCTATCGGTGATGCAATTTCTAGAATTTCTTTTCTATAGGCTTCTGACATCCTCCCAGAAAATAAGCCGTCAGCTTTCCCAGCCGGGAGATATTTTTACCAGAAGTCTAAGACTTACTTACGCGACTTACCATACTTATGTATGAGCCGCACAAGCTTTTACTCTTTGTGTGGGAATCTGTTAATATGTGTATCTTTCGAGACCATACGTTTTCACTTGCTGTGCCGTCAATTAATATAATTTTTTTCCTTGTTTATTTGATTTTTTTAAATGTATGTTTTAATACAAGTAATATTATAATTGAATTTAATATTATTAATCTCACTACTTTTGGTATCCTTTTTCTTCGTACACTGGTTTTCAGTCCTTTGATGCGTATTGTTCATCCAACGAGAATTTGTAAAACCATACAACGGTATGTAACAGTGTACGTGACTAATTTAGATTACATGTAAAGTCCTATAAATGTCTATTGCTGTTGTATAAGTCTGAAACACTCAACGTTCATCATCCCCCCCCCCCAAACCCCCGGCCTAAATATGTTCAACTGTTTCCCTTCAGATCCCCACTCGCGTGATATGGTTATAGACCAAAATTTAGGGGTCAGGATAAAGCTTTTCTAAGTTCAGCAAATTCTACCACTCTAACCCGCCCCCCCACCCCACCCTAGCTTTTCAATGATGTTAGTTGTCTGACCTCCGTCCGGCCACATCCGATGACATTCCACGACCTTCGGGTCGCGTGACGTGCGGTGGTCCACTGCCCGCTGACAACAGAAGATCCCGCCAAAGTTTGCCAGGACTCATTCAGTAAGATCTCTTCGGTTTGGATGAGTTGATATATCTACAGGATGGGGCGGAGGGGGGGGGAGGGGGTGGGGGGGTTGTCACCGGTGGATATTGACGTATACACCTGGGGTCAGGGGCATTGATGTATGTGACTCGGAACATTTTCTATAAGTGATACATCTTAAATAAACTCGGCGACATTTGCGAAAGTGCTTCTAAGGGCAATGAAACATGTATTGCTATTAATAGAACAATTTAATATCTCCCATTGGCTTGACAGCCTGCACTTTTAAAATTAGACTATTTTTTAGAGTTTCTAGTTTCCCACCTATGCAAAGTATGGGCACTTATGAAATGACATCTAATTATTATGTCTATAGCCGCCTTGGAAATTAGCTTGGACCCTGCCACTCATAGAATCAGAAAGTATTGCTTCAATTACTGGAGTGGCGAGTCTGAGAAATGGCGGAATTAGTTTTAGTGTGTCGTCATTAGTTTTAGTGTGTCGTCATTAGTTTTAGTGTGTCGTCATTAGTTTTAGTGTTTCGTCATTAGTTTTAGTGTGTCGTCATTAGTTTTAGTGTGTCGTCATTAGTTTTAGTTTGTCATCATTAGCTTTTGTGTGTCGTCATAAATTTTAGTGTCGTCATTAATTTTAGTGTGACGTCATTCGTTTTAATCTCGTCCTTAGTTTTAGTGTGACGTCATTACTTTTAGTGTATCTTCATTAGTTTCAGTGTGTCGTCTTTATTTTGAGTGTGACGTCATTACTTTTTGTGCCTTTAGCAGTTTGAGTATTTTAATTCAACATAGACAAAAAAAAAACCCATATTTTTTTCAATAATAACGCCTGCATTGATCAAATGTCTTACATGTTTCACGTTGTTCTCCAAGCTCTTCAACGACACCCTGAGTACCCTGAGTGCAATAAGTGGTTACGAAATGGGAAATTAGTGTATAAAAAGTACACGCTGCACCAAAGTGCACTGCAGGCACGTAGCCCAAAATCCATTCACTCCCACGGGTGGGTGGGGGGGGGGTTAGGAAGGGTAACGCTAATGCCATCATCACCCCCCCCCCCCCCGGAGCCACTGATTTTTACAATGTGCCCCCCCGGGTGGCTGTGTGGAGGTGCGAGATGTTGGTGATATGAAATCCACCGCGCCCAGGGGTTAGCAGGTCAGTGGGATTTCTCCACCCAGAAACATTGTAACATTAACAGTGTTACTCGTTTAAAAAAAAAAAAAAACAACGTAAATTACGAGTGGATGGAGTGTACTTGTTCTGGAGGTCCCCTGTTGACCTGGGTTTAAAAGCTTATACTTCAGTCAATTTCAGGGGCGTCACTGAAGTTTGTGAAAAAGGGGGTGGGATGAGGAATATAAAATTGTCAATGAAGACTGAACGCTTTTCATGTTGGCGCCAAAGTTAAAATAATTCAGATTTAACATCCCGGAAAGTATGGAAATGGACCCCACAAAAAAAAAAGAGAGGTGGGAGGGGGGGGGGGGGCGCAAATGCGTATTCTTGCACTCAGCTACCGACGCCTATGATAATATTTAGTTTGTTACTAACTGCTAATTTATTTGAACTTACTTTTTTATACCAGCAAGAACAGAGATGTGCGCCTTCTGTTATTGCTATTGCTAATCCGGTCAGCCATGAAAGCAACTGTTTATGTCTTTGTGAATCCGCTTTTAAAATGGACTTAAGTGATAATAAAAGGTGTACCTTGTGGGTGCGTGGTAGGTCTTGCAGAGAACACTCTCACCGGACGTACTGGACACAGTGGACATGGTTGCTGGATCCGTCCGGCTCACTGGCGCCAACAGGCGGTGCAGGCTCGGCTGGCGTTGTTGCTGTACGGCTTTTATCACATGCAGGAAGTGGGAGCCCGATGCTTGAGCCGCAGGAGTCAAGTTATAGCAAGTGTCAGTTGCTGCTCACAAATACAAAGATACAGCCAGTTGTATAAAACGCTTATCTCGTCAACTGTCTGTAATATGTGTTCATAATTTCACAGGTAACTGATGATAACACAGATGAGCGATATCAAACTTTCATGTATGCAAAAAAAATAAAAAAATAATAATAATAAAAAGTTAAAAAAATAAAACCAACACTTTTTACAATTTTCTTGTATGAAAGAGTAATAGGCCTACTATGACACTGTGAGTGATCAATGTACTAACAATTTTACTTTAACCAATGTTCTAATGAAATCCAGATAAAAAAATTCGAAAGACTGATGTTATTTGAAGGTTTTCTCTCAAAGAGCTGCGCATCTAGCCTTTTAACGTCTGAGCTGAGTTGTGTGATGCAATATGTGTTTATAAAATGCCGGCTGTTTACAAAGGTAAATTTCAGACGAGGGGGGGGGGGGGGGGGTCTCGCCCAGCCGGCCAAGCATATCACACTGAATGACGCCGGGTAGTCACGGGGGGGGGGGGGGGGGGGGGGGGGGGGGGGGGGGGGAGGTCTCGCCCAGACGGCCAATCATATCACACTGAAGTACGCCAGGTAGTCACGTGGAGGGGGGAGGAGGGTGGGGGAAGTGGGGGAGGTGGTCGTGTTATAGAACGTCCAGAGCTGAAATGTTTCATCATCACCATTCTGAGCTGGTCTAGGGTGAAGTCAACAATGACGTTGCGGCGGTGGTAGAGGCGTTTTGTAAACACAACCTACAGGTTAACGCTAAACAGATGTTACACAATCTTAAACACACTCTTCCAATGCACATCTGTTATAAACATTTCCAGCGTACACGTTTCTAATCCATATTTCTAAAACATATCTCTAAGACATATCTATTACACGTTTCTAATTACTAAGACCACATCACTAGGACACAGCTCCAGTAGGCCCACACATTTCTAATGCACATCTCTAAGACACATTTCTAATACACATTTCTTCATTACCTTTAGTGTGTCGTTATTAATTTTAGTGTGCCGTTATTAGTTTTAGTGTGTCGTCATTAGTTTTAAGGTCGTCATCAGCTCTAGTGTGTCGTCATTCTTTTTAGTGTGCCGTCATTTCTAATACACATTCCTAAGCTCCAATACACATTTCTAATTGACATCTCTAAGACACATTTCTAATATAAAGCTCCAATACACATTTCTAATACATATTTCTAATTGACATCTCTAAGACACATTTCTAATATAAAGCTCCAATACACATTTCTAATACATATTTCTAATTGACATCTCTAAGACACATTTCTTATATATAGCTCCAATACACATTTCTAAGACGACACATTGGTAATACAGTCGAACCCATTTATCTCGACCTCGGTTAACTCGCCAACCCTGTTATGTCCAATTTTTGAAGTGGAACGACCAAGTTTTCTCTTTGTCTTAGCATTTTCTCCTCGGTTATGTCGATTCTTTTATGTCATCGAACCCTGATATCTCGAACACAAAAGGCGGCCAAATTTGCCACTTAACCTCGGTTATCTCGATCCCCATGACCAATTCGCCGGCTTTTGAAATCCACAAGAAGAAATAGCAAACAACAAATAAACAAGTTTTTCATAATTAAAAATAATTATTTATTTCTCAAAATACAGGACTTATGTTTTAGAATGAACTAGACGTAGCTTAAGTAAATATGTTTTAATTCGAGGTTTAAAAACCCAGTAGAGTCCATATTATAGAGTCCATAATGATTGTAATTTGCCGTGTGCAAAACGTGGTCATGAGGTGCCATTCGCGGTCACTTGCATAATTGCTATACCTTGGTACTACGTCAGAGTTTCATTCCTAAGAGTTTGCCGTGTGGCCGTGTGCAAAAGCTATTCAACCATTGGTCAGGGAAAAGTTTAATTAAATAGTCATGTGCCTAAGTTGAAAGTTCAAAATAAGTAGTCCCTAAATAGTGTTTTAGTAATAAGGGGACACGTTGTCTTATGTAAAATATATTGTCATTGCGCAAGACATGATCAGCAGAATGACGTCATAAAATGTGGAGCCTTCGTCCAAAGTAGAAAATACCAGACGAACTCGCACTTTAAAAATCGTAGCTCAAAAAGTACTCAAGTTAAAAAGTTGATTCTGGTTTCATTATTTGAAATTTGCTCTAAATAGCTGTAATATATATATATA